CTTATATTTATCTAGTGAAGTACTGGAGGACTTCCTTTAGCATTTCCTGTATGGCAGGTCTTGTAGCCACAGATTCTAGTAGACTTTATTTATCTGTCAATGTCTTTATTTCACCTTTAATTTTGACAGATAATTTTGCTAGATATAGAATTCTTGGTTGACAGTTTTTCTTATAGCACTTTGACTATGTTATTCTGCCTTCTGCCCTCCATTTTTCCTTCAGAGAAATTAGCTGCTTATTTTATTGTTGTTTCCTCATCTATGATGTTTTTCACCTCTTTCTTTGAAGTTTTTCTCTTTATTTTTGAATTTTGACAGTTTGATTATGATGACTAAATGTGAATCTTGTTGCCTTTATCCTGCTTGGGATTTGTTGAGCTTCTTGGATTTTTAGATTAATGTTGTTCCTGAAATTTCAAAGTATTTTTGGTCATTATTTCTTTAAATATTTTTTCTGCCCCTTTATCTCTTCCAACTTTTTCTGGAACTTCCATCATACATATGTTTGTGTGGTTAATGTTCCACAGCTCTCCAAGGCTCTGATTATTTTTCTTCTTTTTTTTTTTTTTTCCTGTTCTTCATATTGTATAATTTCTGTTAATCTATTTTCGAGCTCATTGATTCTTATGCCATTTCAGATCTTCTGCTGAGCTGCATTTGCAATATTTACTGTAGTTATTGTTTTCAACTCTAGAATTTATGTTTGGTTCTTTTTAATAATTTTTATTTACTTATTGAGGCTTTGTATTTTTTTGAGTCATTGTCATCATACTTTCCTTTAATTTTTAAGCATATTTTCTTTTGTGCCTTTGAACGCATTTATAATAGCTTCTTTGACGTCTTTGTCTACTAAGTCTAACATCTGGGAACGCTCAGAGAGTTTCTTTGACTGTTTTCCTGAATATAGCTTGCACTTTTCTGCTTCATCCTGTGTCTTCTCATTTTTTGTTGAAAAGTGGACATTTTAGATAATGTATTATCACAACTATAAATTCTGACTATTCTCACCGAAAGTTGTTGTTATTGCTATTAACTTTTTTGGTTTTTTTGTATAGTAACTTATCTGAAATAATTGTGCAATTTATCTTTCCTCCATTCTGGTGAGCAGCCAGTGATGTCCCTGCTCAGATTTTTTGAAATGCTTGTTTTTAATTTTTAAGCTAGCCTTTTGGGGTTGCCCCCGTGTTTGTGCAGTTTAATGGCAAGACAGTGATTTGTCATAGGTTTTTCTCAAGCACCTTGAGCTAGTAAGGCTCCTGCCCTTGCTAGTGGATCTGTTTGTGGGTTCAGGAGTACATTCAAGGTTCAGATAGTTTTCAAGTCTGCCCCAACTTTCACTTTCTGCCAGGCTCTTTTGTTTTCTTTGTGTATAGATGCAAGCTTCCAGTAGGCCAAGGATGTATGAACAGGTTGGGCACTCTCTAATCTCTGATGTGCATGCATGCCACTTGCAGGTAGCTGGAGATATGTAAAGAGCTTATCAAGTACCTCTATGACTGCCTTCTTGCCTGTATCTTTCTGTTAAGTTTCTGGCTATTGCACTGTTATGTTGTTTGCTCTAGTTAGAACTGAAACCTCAGGCTGGTAGAACCTCTGAACTTCCTGGTTAGTTTGCCTTAGAGATTGTTTCTTATTAGTGGTATTCCACTGGCCATGAGTTTTTCTCTTTCTGTTCCAAATCAGGACCCCTCTGGCAGTGAAAAAAAAAAAAAAAAAAAAAAAAAATCCAAACCCATTGCCATTGAGTCAACTCCAACTCACAGCAACCCTATAGGAGGGGGTAGAACTGGCCCATAGGATTTCTAAGGAGTAGCTGGTTGATTTGAACTTCTGGCCTTTGGGTTAGTAGTCCAGCTCTTAATCACCCTGGCGGTGAAGCTTCTGGTTATTCGTGGCCTGCCTTACCTATTAGAACTACTGAGCTGAACTAGTGGCAGGTGTGGTGGATGGGAGTAGCACCTGGCAAGAATGCCACAGACTCCTACCTTTCTTACCTGAAGTTCAGTAATTTTTCATGAATAAGTGCTTTGCAGTTTGTTGTATGTCTTTGGTCCATTTCCAGAGACAAAATTTTTATGGAAGAGAATTTGGTAAACTCTTCAGTCTAGAAGTCTGTTTTATTAATTTTGTCTCTCCTACTAAATTATAACTTCTTGAGAAGGGAGACCCTATTTGATATATTTTTGTTTCTGTTTAGTGCCTGAAAGTGTTACCCACAGTCAGTTAACTATGAATAAATGAAATTTGTAAATAAGTTTATAAAATGTTTTCTAATATTATAAGCTATATACTTTTTAAAACTACTCTGTGATGTGAGTAGGATGAGTTGTTCCCCCTCCATCCCCAATTTATGCACGAGAATTGTGAAATGCAGTGAATTAAATATCTTACCAAGGTGCAATCAGCTGACACATGAAAAACTGGGACGTGGACCAAATCTCCTGATTTCCGATCTATATTCTTTCCACTAATCCATGTGGAAACCATTAAGTCAGGGTTGGAAGGTGTCACTAAATTTTGTTAAATGTAAAATTATAAAATAAATAACAAGAGAGTAAAGGCAGAGGGTATTGATTCTTGTTCAACAAGTTTGAAAAAAAATGAAACAAAGAAATAGAATAATAGCTGCATATACTCTCCAGCTACATGAGTATCAAACAGACAGGCAGTCACATCTATCCACATTTCCTTGGCATACATGTTTCATAGACTAAGTTAGGAAATTATGGGATGTGATGCTGCAGCAGAATGGGTCATATTACATGAGTGTAGGATTCAGCTTTCTCTAATGAAAGCGGTCTAACCAGCTTTCTAGTCACCGCTTAAAGAGTCCATATATCATTAAGACAAGTGGAATTTTAAATCTGTTGTGTCTTAGTTTCCCCAGACTTTAGCTTTTTCAGTTTTCTCTTTCCTAGTGTTTTTAATTTCACATCATAAATACTAATATATAAATGGCAGAATTTCCTGTTCAAGACGTCTATTCCTTAGAACAATTTGCATCTGATTTAGATGTCTTCTCTTTTAGGGGAATAATGTGGCATACACATAGTGTTTCTAGATTACTGTGAAAGAAATAAGTTAAAATGGTATTCATTAAATAGTTATTGGCAGCCTCCTATGCCAGTCCTGGGATCTGGGGAAACAGAGATCAGTAAGACCAACCTCAGCTCTTTTTCAATGATTTCACAGATAGGCAGGGCAGCAAACATCTAGATCAGAGTTTCACAAAATGTTGTCCTCAGATCAGCAGCCTCAGCATCACCTGGCAACTTATTAGAAATGCAGATTCTTAGGCCCTACCAAGAGGTGAGTAGTTCAAAATCACCAGTGTCTCCATGGGAGAAAAGACTTGGGAATCTGCTGCCATAGTTTAGCCTGGGAAACCTTACGGGACAGTTCTACTCTGTCACATAGGGTCACTATTAGTCAGAATTGATTCAACAGCACACAACAACAACCCCAGACCTATTTAATCAGAAGTTCTGGAATGAGGCCCAGAAATCTGTATTTTTAACAAGCCTCATGGGTGATTCTGATGAACACTAACGTTTGAGAACCACTGGTCTAGTCATGGTACAGTAAAACCGGTTAAAGCTGGAATCTGTGCAAGGCAAAAACCTGTCAGAGAAGGAAAGCTAAAATATTTCCACTAATACAAAGTGATAGAAAAGTGGTAAGACTGCACCCTGTCAAAAGTGGAAAACTTGCGAGACCCTGAAAAACAAGACAGTCCCATCGAGTTTCAGCTCTCACAGGTTCCACTGTATAATATATCAGAACAAATGCAACAACAGGAATTGTATACATAAGTCAGAGGTGAAAATTATTAACTGTATTATTGTTAAAAGTGAAATGGTTCAGGGAGGGTTGTTTGTAGGAAGTGACATTAGAAGTGTTCATGAGAGGCAGGTTGCTGAGTCTCTCTGTATAATAAAGCTTCTCAGATTTAGAGTTTGGGATCTTTAGGGTGGGGACTCTTCAGAGCATTATAAACACTTGGAATGTTAAAGTATTAATTGTAGGCAGTGGCTTTTAATTTATTGATGGGACTTTTGGGTGGGTGGGAGAGGAAGAAGAGTCTCAAATCCAAACAACTGAGTATGATTTGAAGATGCAATAATTCTGCCTCTCCCGTATATGCATTATGAAGTGTCAAGTTGCAACTAAAAACACAAATTTATTTAAAAGCATTTCTGAGCTCATAGTAACCTTTTGTATTATATACTTTATCAATAAATACCTTATCAATAGTTAGGGACACAGAATCTAAAGTTAGAGATGTTTGGATTCAAATCCTAACTTTCCCACTTACCGTATGATCTTGGGTAAATTAGTGAACTTCTTTAAGCCCACTTCGTTACCTGTTGTCATCAAATCAATTCCTACTATAGCGACCCTATAGGACAGAGTAGAACAGAATTCTACTGCCCCATAGGGTTTCCAAGACTGTAAATCTTTATGGAAGCAGACTGCCACATCTTGCTCCCATGGAGCCGCTGGCGGGTTCAAACTGCCAACCTTTCATGAACAGCCAGCCACTTAACCACTGCGCCATCAAGGCTCCCTATCTGGACACTAGGGATAATAATTGAGAAATAGTACCCCCAAGATAATCAGGCACAATGCCTGTCTGTGTTCATATAATGTTAGGTATTATTATTTTATTACAAATCCAAGAGTTTATATTACAAATATAAAAATTTGGAGTATTTATTGCACCTAAAACTCATAGAATTTTTTTTTTAGTTTAATTTCATTTTTGGTGAAAATATACACAGCAAAACCTGCTCCCATTCCACATTTCTAGACATAATGACCAGTGACATTGGTTAAGTTCTTCACATTGTTATCAACTGGAAAGTAATTTTATGATTAAAAATTGTTCTCAGGAAGTTATCTAGAGCATAAGATTGTACTCATCTAATAGGAAAATGTGATTAAGAACATGTTAGTCTAAAGTCAGTAGCTTTCACTAATTATTTCTTTTTTAATTCCAGAGACCTTTCAATTTATTTCCAAAAGGCACCATGGTTTCCCCTTCAGTCTCACCTTTTTCCTGAATGGAATACAGGTGAACAGATTAAGCTCCTGCTGTGAATATAAGCATCGGAAAGGTTCCAGACTTGGAGGCAAACGTGGCTACTTTGGGTTTGTGTGTGTTGAGAGATCATCTCCCTGCTACAAGTATGGAAATAAATGTCCTTTGGTAGAGGACAACTTTGCTAAGTGTTTCTTCTTATGCTTTTACTGATGCATTTCACTGCACAATTTGCTAGGAGAGATATCAGTGTAGATGAGCCTAAAATATATGTTAAAGGCTGTTTATTAGAACCCTGAGTGTTGTATTTGAAAATATAAGACATAAATCTATAAATCATATTCCCAGATGCATTACATAACAGGGATAAAAGCTGGCGGTGTTTCAAATTCTGTTTTTATCTCTCCCTTTTCCCATAACACTTTAACTTCTGTTTCTGAATGAAAGGAGAAAAAAAGCATTTTTTTCTCATCCTCTTCGTAACTGGTTCTGAGCTAAGTCCTGAAGTATATGCCAAGCATATGACTTGTATAAACCAAAACCAAACCCACTGCCGTCGACTCGATTCTGACCCATACCGACCCTATAGGACATAGTAAAACTGCTCCATAGGGTTTCCAAGGAGCTGCTGGTGGATTTGAACTGCCAACCTTTTGGTTAGCAGCCGTATCACTTAACCACTGCACCACCATGGCTCCATATGACTTGCATAGTTGGATATTATAGGTTATGCATATTAGAAGTGTGTCTGTATTATAGTGTGACCCAATTTTCATTCTCATGCCCCTAATTTCAGTCTCAGGCATAACAAAATACTTGAAAAAATGTCAGTTCTGACTGTCATTTATCAGCTTTCATGTTGATCACTCAGGTTGAAGTTAGATTTGCTTGCTTTGCACTTTTTTTTTTCTATAAATACTTATGGGGAATTGACTATGTGCCAAGCTGGGGCATGACAGTGAACTAACCAAACCTTTGCCTCCACAGAGCCCAGTGTGATGGGGGAAGGGCAAATGACATAAAAATAAACTAATATATGTCTGTCAGTAATAATGCTATGAATAAAAAACAGGGTAAGGGAGATATAGAGATGAGAAGGTGACAAGGTTTCAGAAGTGAGTGTTATTTTTTGTCGGTTGGTTAGGGAAGGCTTTGCTGATAAGGTGTCTTTAGAGCAAAAACATGAAATAAACAAAACAAGATTCTTCCTTCGGTAGCTTTTCAGGCAGAGGAAAAACACATACAAAGGGTCTGAGGTAGGGGTGTGCTTGATATGCCTAAATTAATGTGGCCAGAGGAAAAGAGAGGAATGGAAAAATAATGAGTTGAGATCAGAGAGCCAGTGAGGCCAGGCCACATAGGGTCTCAATATCACTGCAAGGACATTGACTTTTATTCTAAGTGGGATGGGCCTCCAGTGAGGATTTTGAGCAGTGAACGGTCATGGTCTGAATATAGGTCCTATATTCCGACTCGAAGACACCTAGCAACAACTATAATTTCATATTAGATGGAGATGCTGAGTCGGCAGTTGGATATACAGATCTGGGGTCATGGGAGAGATCTATACTACAGGCATAAATTCAAGAGTGGGTTACATATAGATGCTACTTAAAGCCATACGATTGGATGAGATCACTTAAGAATTGAATGTAGATAGAGAAGATGGTCTGAGTAAAGAGCTCTGGGTCATTCCAGTTCAGAGGTGAGCAAGATAAAGAAAAACCAACAAAGAGACTAAGAAGAAAAACCAGTGATTAGAAGGAGAACCCAGAAAATGTGTTGTCCCAGAAAAGAACAAAATGTTTGAAGAATAAAGATGCGAATAACCTGGTCAACTGTGTGGATAGGCTAAGTAAAATGAAGACTGAAGTTTAAACATGATTTGATAATATGTTGGTCTTTAGTTATCTTGGCACAAGTTGTAGCATTGAAGCAGTAAGGATGAAAGTTTGGTTGGAATAGGCTTTAGAGAAAATCTAAGGCCAGAGAATATAGGTAATTCTTTCTAAAGAATTTTGCTATAAAGAATGGAGATGGGGTAATAGCCAGGAGGAAGAATGTGGGAGTCAAGGGAGGCTTTTTATTTTTTTAAGATGGGAGATATTATAATATGTTTATATGCTGATAGGATTGATCCCCTAGAGGAGAAAAAATTGATGAAGCATATTATAGAGAAGGAAATTGTTAGAGCAAAATCTAGGGCTCGAGTGGAGGTGTTGCCTTAATAAGAGAAACATTCTTCTACAGTGACAGGAGGAAAGATGGAGTACAGGGGAAGAGAGAGAAGTAGGTTGGTGGATGTGCTGGCAAGTTCTCTGCTGACTTTCATTTTCTCAGTCAAACAGGAAGCACATTTATCAGCTGAGGTTAAGGCGGAGGGAGCAGGGGTTGGAGGCTTAGGAGATAAGAGAGATTTGACGCAATCCATATAGTGGGAGAGTGACTGGCCTAGGACAATATACTAGGAGTTCCCAACTGTTATTTAGGGCCCAACCTGAAGCTGCTTTTTTGTCCTAACCCAAATATGACCACTCTGTATTTGTGGGCAAGTCATTTAATTCTCAGTAGATCTAATGAACTTATATGCAATCATTCATGTACAAATACATTCCATTCGTTGGAAATTTCTGTATAAATCCAAGCTGCAATTTTTTAGTGCTTAACACTTTCTATGGAGGGTTAGTAAGCTGTACCACAATCTGATTGATGACATCCTCTCTCCTGTTCAACAGTTCAAAGGCTCTGTACGGTTCTTCCTATAATTTTAACATGTCTTGGTCTCCTCTAGTTTCTTTCCTCAACTGTTTCAAATAATCATAACAAAAGGGTTGTGATATTAAAGAATAAGACCCATTGCCCTCGACTAAAACGCACAGTTCTCACAGGACAGTGGCTTTCCATTTTTTCTTAGCTTCATAACCATTTCTTCAAATGAAATCTATCAATACCCAAAGCAGGTAGGATAGTGTAATGTCATTTGATATTTCCCTGTTTCAGATCAGGTAAGACTCAAATAATACTAGTTCAGGTGAAGCAGGGATGGATGAATGAGTGCTAGAGCTTTGCTTGTTTGACCCTAATCTGCTTGACTCTACTCTGGTTATTCCAGAAGCACTAGAACTGTAGAACTCCAGTTTGAGAATTACCCCTAAGGAGATTGATAACATTTATAATATTGTACAATCTTTGCTTTGTCACATATATAATAATACCTGTAAACCTTTACAGAAGTAGACTGCTACATCTTTCTCCTGTGGAGTGGCTGGTGGGTTCGAACCGCCGACCGTTTGCTTAGCAGCTGAGTGCATTAACCATAGTGCCACCAGGGTTCCTTTTATCTTAAGGGATGTATACTAATTCCTCCAGTTTGTTCAAAATAAAATTAATTGTAATTCATTCTAAAAAATACTGGTTTCTGGAACTTTTGAGAAGAGTGGTAAAATAAAACGATAGGGGATTCTATTTATAAAAATGATTCAAAATTACCTGTTTAAGGTCCTGAGAAAACAAGAAAAAATCAGCAGTAATCACTTCCAAAGTGTGGAGGTCCCATAATTGTCTCATCCTTCAATCATGGGAACTGTTTGAAGCGGCATGATAGTTATTTTCAATTGCTGGAGTGAAACACGAGAAGAAGAATTGCCTAACCCAGTAGAATGCAGACGGTTTTGAGCAGAATCAACACCTCAAATTATACTCAGAAGTCAAATAGGTAGTCAGTGACGAGGAGAACACAGATGTTCCTCACTTTGTTTGTCCAATTCCCTTAAGCAGATGGGCAATAAAAAGTCTGTGCATGCAATAGGGAGGCATCAAAGCCTCTACACAGTCACAACATAAACTAAAAGGAACAGCATATCACAGGCTCCAAATCGATGGATTTGGTGTTGCCATTGATAAGGGAAGAACAGCTTGAACAGAAGGCAATGCTAGTAATCATATTCTGTGAAGATTCATGACACTTTTATTCCAAGGAAAGCAATGTGCTAAGTATATCATCATTAAAGTCAAGAAATATTTATCATGCTTAGCATGGGGTGAGGTAAGCGTATTCTTATTATCTCATTTTTTACAGCCTGATAGTTACTTTGAGTGCAAATCCTTTTATCTTTATTTTATTGGGAGATATTGAAAAGAAAAGTGATCTAAGTAAGTTCTCATATTTGCTTGTTGGGAGAATTAATTAAGATCAATTGCTATGCTGTTTCTAGACTGGGGATGGCTGAAATTCAGAAGAATCTCCAGGTTAAGATATTGCCATTGGATTTGATTCACATTTCAGCAATTTTCAGATTTTTTTTTTATTGTACTTCAGGTGAAGGCTTACAGAACAAATAGTTTTTCATAAAACAGTAGTACACATATTGTTTTATGACATTGGTTAACAACCCCACAACATGTTAACCCTCTAACTTCTCAACCTTTTTTTTTTTTGGTGAAAATACACATAGCCAAAGCTACACCATTTCAAAAATTTCTACATGCACAGTTCAGTGACATTGACTACGCTCTTCCAATTGTGCTGTTATTCTCACTTAAGATG